ACAAATACAGATCTCTTCCAGTCAGTTGGCCAGGTGGTTGTCCTCCAGATTTCTTGACACAACTTGGTGAGCACATCTAGAGCAGCATCTGTTTGTTGAAATATATCAATTGGTATACCTTCAATTTGTGGGGCCTTTTGTCAATTCTTTTTCTGCAATTCCTTTTGCCTGGGTTTTTTTGCCAATTCTTTCAGAGCAGCTTAAACTTCTTCCTTCAGCACTATAGGCTCTTGCTTCCTGAAATTCTTCTGCTTCTGTCAATTCCTTTTGGTATAATGACTCTGTATACTTTTTCCATTTTCTTTTAATACTTTCTGGATAATTTAATTATCCAAACATCCTTAAGTATTTCAACTTGAGGCTTGAATTTTTTTCTTTAGTTCCTTCAGCTTAAGAAACGCTGAGCGAGTTCAACCCCTTTAGTTTTCTGACTCCAGCTCTTCGTATATTTCATTATAGTACTCTGTCTTTCCACTTTGCCCTTTGAAATCTTCTGTTCAACTCCTTAATATCTTGATTTCTTTCCTTTGCTTTGGTTTTTTGGTGCTCTAGTGCAATACTTAGAGTCTCCTCTGACATCCATTTTGGTGTTTTCTTCTTCCTCTGTCTTTGTAATGACCTTTTTCACTCTTCCTGGATGATATTCTTGATATCCTCCCACAGCTCATCTGGTCTTCACTCTTTATTGTTGAAGGCTTCAAACCTGTTTCTGAGATGGTTTTGAAATTCATGTGTGATAGACTTAACATCATTTTTTGGTTCCTGTGAATTTGATTTAATTTTCCTTAGCTTCAGCTTGATTTTGTATATGAATAGTTGGTGGTCTGTTCCATAATCAGCACCTGGCCTAATTTTCACAGCTGATATTGAGCTTCTCCAGTGGTTCTTTCCACAGATGTAATTGATCTGATTCCTATACATACCATCAGGTGAAATTCATGTGTACAGCCAGCGTTTATGTTTCTTATAAAATGCACTTGCAATGATTATTTCGTTAATTGTGCAAAATTCATTCTGTCTCGAGCTTCATTTCTGTGATAGAGTCCATGTTTTCTAACTACTCATCCTTCTATTTTGTTCCCAACTTTTGCATTCCAGTCACCCATTGTTACTGCATCTTGATTGCATGTTTGATTGATCTCTGACTGCAAAAGTTGGTAGAAATCTATTTCTTCTTCTTTGTCTCTAGTTGTTGGTGCATATATCTGAATGATAATGGTATTCACTTGACTTCCTTGTATCCATATGGATATTATCTTGTCACTCATAATATTGTATTTCAAGAGAGATCTAGAACGATTCTGGATTTCTATATTTACAGAATGAATCATTCTGTAAATATAGAAATACAGTGCTGATCCCTCGAGATGGTAGGTTTCTCCAGGGCCTGGGGCCCTGCAAGTGTCTGGTGGGACCCCAACTATCTTGTTCTCAGTCACTGACTCCAGCTGGGGAAGGAGCTGACACCCTGGGAGCACTGTCTCACTCCTGGGGGTGGCGCTGCGGCTCTGCCTGGGAGGTGGGTGGGAACTTGGACCTTGAGGTACACCAGCCAGGGCAGGCCTTCTACTTCCTTCCGTTGGCCGGTGACCTGCTGTGGCTACAGCCACAGCCAAAGCCAATCCTTCAAGGCTCTGCCTACCACGTCTATCACTGACCAGCTGATAGTGCGTCATGGCCTAACATTGTTCTCAGTCTCGTAGCTGCTTCCCTGGGGGGCCTGAGATTCCATGATCCTCCTTCATCTTCTTTTAATGCTTTCTGGATCATCCAATATTTAGCCCAGGTCATCTTTCAGTATTGAAGTTTGAGGCTTCAATTTGTTTTTCAGGTCTTTGAGCTTAAGAAATGCCGAGCAAATTCTTCCCTCTTTATTCTTTAACTCCAGCTCCTTGCACATTTCTTTGCAACACTTTCCTTTGACTTCTTGAGCAGTCCTTTGAAATCTTCTGTTCAGCCTTTTTGCTTGGCATCTCTTCTTTTTGTTTTGACTTCTTAACTCTCTAATGCAATTTTTATACTTTCTTCTGGTATACATTTTGTTTTTGTTTTTTCTTCCTTTTCTGTTTTTGCAGTGACACTTTGCTCTTCATATATTGTATCCTTGATGTCATTCCACAGTTCCTCTGGTCTTTTATCATTGCTGTTCATTGCCTTAAACCTATTCTTGAAATTATTCTTAAAATCAGGTGGGATAGTCTCAGGGTTGTGTTTTGATTCTTGTGCACTAGCTTTCTTTTTCTTCAGCTTCAAATTAAATTAAACTTGCACATGATACAAGTTTAACTGATGGTCTGTTTCACAGCTGGCATGTGGCCTTGTTTTGACTGCTGATTCTGAGTTTCTGCAATAATTCTTTCTGAAGATATAGTCATAGTTACCCCATAAAGAACATATTTGAAGGTTTTCTATCATGGACAACCCTCGAACTCTGATAACATTTACCTGTTGTTATAGTTACTATTTCAGTCCATCTTGTTCAAGGGTTACTTCTCTTTTACTAACCTTCCACATTTTCCAAGGATAGCTCTCTCCTAACAACATACTCAAAGTATGGAGACAAAGTTTTCTTGCCTCTAAGGAGTATCCTGGTTACACTTCCTCCAAGACAAATTTGTTTCTTCTTCTGTCAATCCATATTCAGGACTATGTTCCAACACCACAATTTAAAAACATCAATTCTTTTTCCTGTCATCTTCATTTATTGTATTATTTACATTTGTATAGGAAGCAATTGAAGGAACAATGGCTTCAGTAAGGTACACCATACTCTTTAAACTATTATCCTTGCTCCTTTAAATCTTGCAGAGATCTTTGATAGCAAATTTTCTGAGTGCAACATATCTTTTAATTACTTGACTGCTCTGGTGGCCTAGTGGCAAGAAGCTGTGCTGCAATACCAGAGGCATGTGGCCATTAGTTGCTCCCTGGGTGAAGGATGAGCAATCTCCTCCAATGCAATTAATGGCCCCTGAAAACCCACTGGAGGGTCAGCTATGGGTCAGTCTGACTCTATGGTACACAGCAATTACCATGAGTATTTAAAATAAAAAAATATTAACAACTTCAACAATTTTCTCCATTTATCGTGATATTGCCTGTTGGTTCAGTGGTGAGAATTTTTGTTTTTTTTAAGTTGAGATGCAATCCATATTGAAGACTGTATTCTTTGAGCTTCTGCAGAAAGTGTTTTTATTCTTTTTCACTTTCATCTAGTTGTGTCATCTGCCTAAGGCAGGTTGTTGATAAGTCTTCCTCTGATCCTGATGTCGTGTTCTTCAGTAGTCCAGTTTCTGGAATTATTTGCTCAGCAAACAGGCTGAATAGATATGGAGAAAATATATAATCTTCACAAACAACTTTCCTGATTTTAAACCTACAGTGTTCCTTTGTGCTACTCAAGTAACTGCTTTCTGGTCTATATTGGGTTTGCATAAGAATAATTCAGTTGTTTTGGAACTCTCGTTCTTTTCAATGTTAGTCATTATTTATTATGGTTCACGTAGTCAAATGCCTTTGCATAGTCAATAAAACACAAATAGATGTCTTCCTTGTTTGCTCTGTTTTCTGGCAAAATCCATCTGACATCAGCAATGATATCCCTTGTGTGAGCTTGAATTTCTGGCAATTCCTTGGTGATGTTATGTTCAATTTTTTTTTAAATCTTTAAATTAGTGAAATTCTATTTGTATGCGATATTAATGATTTTTTTGCTAATTTCCATATTCAGTTAAATCAACATTTTTGGAATGGGAACAAATATGGATCTCTTCTAGACACTTGACCTGTTTTCCAAATTTCTTGACATTAGCTAGTCATCACAACTAAGGCTAAATATGTTTGTTGAAACACACCATTTGATAGTTTATACATCACTGAGACATTTGAACTTCTTCATTCTTTATCATTGGTTCCTGATCATGAATTACTTCCTTACATGGAATTTCAGGAATCTCAGTGTCGATAAATTCTTTTTGGTACAAGGTCTTTGAGTATTTTTTCCAGCGTGTGTGTGTGTGTGTGTGTGTGTGTGTGTGTACTTTTTCCATTATTCAAGATTTTGCCAAAGGAATTGTTCATTTCTTTCAGCTTGAGAAATGCCGAATGAGTTTTTCTATTTTGATTTTCTAGCTCCAATTCTTTTTACATTTTGTTACAATATTTTACTTTGTTTTCTTGAGCTACCTTTTGTAATTTTCTCTTCATCTCTTTTACTTCGGCATCTCTTCCCTTTGTTTTGGTCTCTCACTGTTCTAGTGTCATTTTCATAGTCTCTTCAGACATCCATGTTGATCTTTTCTTTCTTCCTTGTCTTTGTAATCACATTTTGCTTCTTCATGGATGATCTTCGATGTCAACCTACAACTTTGACAAACAGCTTCCCTGATTTTGGATCAGAATTTCATCTGATCTTTGTTCATTAGTGTTTAATGCATCAAATCTGTTCTTTACATGGTTTTTAAATTCAGATAGAAAAGACTGAATTTCATATTTAGGTTCTTGTGGGCTACTTTTCTTCAGTTTAAATTAAGCTTTACAAGTGAGTAGTCGAAAATGTATTCCATAGTCAGCTCCTGGACTTATTTTAATTGATGATACTTGGCTTCCTAATTCATTCTTAAGATGTTCTTGTTGATGGTCTTTGAGTTGAGCATGACTCATAAAGACCCAATGAACAAAAGGCTGAAACCCCTACACAACTATCCACATTTATCAAAGTTCATAGAGTTTCCAGAGGCATGTTGTTTAGAAAGTGGATGCCACTCCTACTTCCAACACTCATAAGATATGGTATTCAAATGATAGCCTGAGACAATAGTCCCTCTTTAGCAAAATTAATTGGACTAAATCCTCCTTTGAAGCTAAAATAAAAAAGCTAGCATCAAAGTGCATGTGTGGTGAGATAATGTGAGGTAGTTAGGACATTATTGAAGAAATTTTGCAATCTTAATGAATATACTCATTATTAAAGTATAAAATTCATTCTTTTTCCCCTCCAGACTACTCTAGAGATCCTTATGTTCTTAAATCCAAGCAAAAGTTTCATACTTTTCAACGGTTATATGGTAATTCATTAGAGTCAGTCTCATCAAAACTCATTGTAACACAAACTGTCAAGCCAAAGAAGTTCAATGCACCCAAGAACAAAAAGACTCATGTAAGTTCCTCAAATTCCATCATTTGAGGTTTTTTGCTTTACTTTTGCTTAACATGGGATTTATATTTTTTTTCATCTCATCGGTGTTTTCTTTCCAATCTTTTCTTTTCCTTTTTTGCATGACTGCTCACTAATTCACTCATCTTGCAGACAAGTCTAACTTGTACATAAAACTATATAAATGAAATATCTTTGATTTAAAAAAGATGTTAAAGCACCTAACAAAAACAGCACACAAAATGCAAGATATTTTTATTTGATTATAAACATAAAGTGCTAAATGATTAATGTCTGGGTTCAGAAATTTTTAATTGAGACTGGAAATGTAGTTATTTATTAGTTAATGACTGAAAATATTTTTATAAATAAGAAGTAAAAGGAATGAAATATGAATATTTTTAACTTTTTAAAAAATTTTTTAAAATTTTATTATTATTTGTGTGTGTGTGTGTCTGTGTACCATCAAATCAGATCTGACTGGTACTGGAGGAAACTGTACCTCCTTCCCCGGCAGAGCATCTGGTGGATTCGAACCATGCACCTCTGGGATTGCAGTGCAGCTTCTTGCCACTAGGCCACCAGAGCTCCCCTGAATATTTTTAACTTTAATTATAATAATTATTTACTCTTTTCAAAAGAATTGAAATCCTTGATCAATCAACTTTGCCCAAGTGGAAAAATATGAATTCTCCATTTCTCTATGTATATTTGATTTCTACAACCTTCTTCCTTCTTGAAATGTTATTCTCTTAAACCTTTTGCCATATAAGGCAAAAATGTGGTGGAGTACAAAGAAAAAAATATAGAAATTTTAAGCATAGCCCTGGAATAATAATATTATTAACTTATGACATAAAATAATAAATCTATATTACTGACACTATTAATAATAACTAAATATAAAGGAGCTCTGGTGATCTAATGAGTAAGAAGTTATGCTAACAATTCAACATCATTGGATTTGAATCCACTAGTTACTCTGTGGGATAAAGATAGACAATCTCTTTCCATGTAATTTACAACTTCAGAAAACTCACTGAAGGGTTTATTTATTAAATAACTATCGTTGAAACTGAGGAGGACCTGAAGTGCTTGCTGCAGAACAAGGACTGAAGTCCTCAATATGGATTGAAGCTCAATATCAAGAAAACAAAGATTCTCACCACTGGGCCAGTTGGCAGCATCAGTATGGATGGTGAAGAGATTGCGATAGTCAACAGTTTTAGTTTACTTGGCTCCACAGTCAACACTCTTGGTAACAGCAGCCAGGAAATCAGGAGATGAATTGCATTGGTAAAGTCAGCTGTGAGGGACCTCTCAAGAGTACTGAATTGCAATGATGTCAGGCTGGAGACTAAGGTGCGCCTGATCCAGGCTATAGTCTTTGGAATTATGTGCTATGCATCAGAGAGTTGGACAGTGAATCGGGGTGAGAGAAAGAGAATTGATGCTTTTGAGTTGTGGTACTGGAGAAGAGTGTTGAATATACCATGGATTGCTAAGAGAACAAACAGATTTGTCCTGGAGAGGGTGAAGCTGGAATGCTCCTGGGAGTCAAGGATTCTGAAGCTTCATCTGATATACTTTGGGCATGTTGCAAGGAGGGACTGGTCCTTGGAGAGGGACATCATGTTTGGGAGAGTGGAGGAGTAGCGCAGGAGAGGAAGACCCTCGATGAGATGGATCAATTCTGTGAGTGGAGTGGTGGGAATGAATGTGTTTGAGACAGAAAGGTTGGCACAGAATAGAACGGCGTTTAGGGCTCTTGTACACAGGGTCGCTATGAGTCGCAAACGACTCGATGGCACATTACAACAACAACAACATCACTGATTTGTTCTCCACACTGTCAGTCCCCTATGAATCCTCTACTGTTGTCTTGTTTCAAAAGCTCAAAGAGAAATGGGAGCTACTTCACCCTTCTTTTTGTTCTCTGGGTCAAAAGAAGCTTTCCTAATGCCTTACTAGGTATCCTCGGTTTCTTTCCTTGTGGTGGCTAGGTGTACTCCTAGTTTTACTGTCAGTGAGACCATCTGGTTCCTTCTTTTTCTTTTTAATTTGAGACTTAATTTTAATTTAAGAGGAACTTCTATTTTGTGAGGATTGTTATAAAATTTAAAGTTTGCAAATTCCATTACACCATGCCCCTCCACTTTATTTATTGTTGTTGTTGTTAAGTGCCATCAAGTCGTAGAGGATTTATAGCGACCCTATGAATGAAGGACCTGAACACTTGTATAACTTTCATAATTTCTCCAAGTTGATAGAGTTTCTGGAGGTAAGCTGCTTTGGAAGTGAATGCCACTCCTGCTTTCAAGCTTGTTTTAATCAAGGAGCTATTGTTAAGATCGAAATAAATTATCTTGAAATAATGAAATACTTTTAGCACTATATGGTACAAACTGTTAGCATACTTGGTGACTAATTGAAGTGTGGGGTTTCAAGATCTGCTAACGTCATCTCAGGAGAAAAGCTTAATGATCTACTTTGTTAAATCTGTCATTGAAAACCTTATGAAGTGAATTTCTACTCTGATACAGATGAAGTAACCATGAATCAGAATAAATTTGAGTTCAATATCTACCATTCAGCATATATATGTCTTCTTTTGTTGATGATTTAAAAGTCTGTGAGTCTAAAAAGATACAAGCACTTACTCATCTATGACATACAGCCTGTACTGTCTCTGTTGTACTGAGGCAAAAGTATGCTTAGTTAACCCAACATAGTGGATTATGACAAAGGGAATACTAAAAAATTGTAGGTCAGCATAAAATGTTTAAAGTGACCATTTATAACATTGATTTAATGAAAGGAATCTTTTTTATATTAATTTTATAATTAATCAGAATTGTGAAATGCTAGTTGAAATGCTTTTCCTATTACAATATTTTTCAATTTTTTTTCTGATATAATAATAAGTTTGTAAAGGCTAAGTGAAAATGGATATAAGAGTGTCTTAAACCAGTCTGACATGCTAGAGGAAATATGATTGTTCTTCTATTTGTTCCTTTTATATTTGTCCTCTTACTCATTCACTTATCAAACATTATGATAGATAGAACAACTGATGTTATTTGGTACTCATATTGTTTGATCATACCCATCAAACAACTGTTTCGTGCTGGATGAATTAAACCCTTTTTTTGTCACAACAGTGGCTGAGTATGACTAGTAAAATATGGTCACTCCTTGTTTTCGGGAGTAGGCTGGATGAGAGATAGCTTTATGTAAGGTATATATGGGAAAATTAATAAGGACTTGGAGCTGACTGGAGAAAAGTGGAAAAGGAAAGACAGTTCCAGAAAAAACAGGGGGTGTCAGGCATGTAGGTATGAAGAAACAGTGGCATGATGTTGCTTTAACTTTATTACATTTACTTTTTAATTCATATTTTACACTGCTCAGGAATTAGAAAGTTATATTCATAGAGATTTCCTGTTCACCAAGTTAAATTATGTTAAGTTTTCAGAGAGTTTAATTTTAAGACAGAAACATTTCAATGAGATTATATTTCATTCATATTGGGGTGATGGTTGGTTATCAATAGAACTTAAAAATATTGTCTCACTAAAAAAGTATCATCTTGAAATACTTCTAATTTGTGTTATTTCCCCCCCTTCTGGGACAGGAGACTAAAGCTGAAATAATTGCTAGAGAGAATAAAAAAAGATTGTTGGCCAAGGAAGAACAGAAGGAAGAGCAAAAATGGAATTCTCTGTCAGTTCCAATTGAACAGGAAATGAAAGATAATTTAAATTCTGGAATTAAGAAACTGGAAGATTTTCTGAAATCATGTAAAAGTAATTCAGTGAAATTTCACGCTGAAATGGTAGGCTTAACTTCCTGTTTGAAAGCATGGAAAGAACATTGCCGAGATGTAGGTACGTGATTGATTCTATGTTGTCTTTATTTGTAAATTAAAGAATGAATAAATAAAATATTATAGCTTTTATTTTTTAACTAGAAGTGTACATTAGAAAATGCATCTGACTTAATTTATTTTATCCTCCAAGATTTGTATTATTATATCTATTTTCCCAGTGAAAAATGAAATCTCAGAGAGAGTCTCAGTAGGAAACATCATGATAGAAGGAGAAAAGATTGAGACTGTCAATTACTTCATCTTACTTAGATCCACAATCAGTACGCCTAGTACCAGGATTCAGGAGATCAGAAGATGTATTGAACTGGGAAAGTCTGTGTCAGGGACTTCTTTAAATTATTGAGGATTAATGAGTCGGTCTGAGGACTAATGTGCACCTGATTTAGATCATTGTCTTTTCACTCACTTGCTATGCAACTGAGAACTGGTTAGAGATCTTCTGTCTAAGGATGTCAAAATAACAAAGAGATATGTCTTGAGAGTGTACTGCCAGAGTATTCCTTGAAGGCAAGGGTGGTGAGGCTTCGTTTCACATACTGGAGGCATGTTGCTAGGAGAGTTTATTCTTTGGAGAGAGGGACATCCTGCTTGGAACTTGGAGGGGAGGCAAAAGAGAGGAAGGCCCTCAGTCAGGTGGGTTGACACGGTGACTGAAACAGTGAACTTGTAGTGGAGGACTGAGATTGTGAGGATAGGACACAGGATAAGACCGGGTTCAGATTGATTGATTGTTCATAAGAGTCATACTGGACAGCATCTAACAACAACACCTTATCAGCAAAATGTCTTTTTCTGATGACTGACTCCATCTGACAATAAACCTGAAGCTTGTGAGACATTTCACTATCTTTGCCTCCAAGGAGTACTCTGCTTGCTGTTCCTTCAAGACAGATTTGTTAGTTCTTTTGACAGACTATAGTGTACTAAATACTCTTCACTAACACCATAGTCCAAATGTTTTGATTCTTCTTTGATATTTCTTATTCATTGTCCAGCTTTCATGTGCATAGGAAGCAATTGAAAACCCCATGGCTTGGACCAGGCAAACTTTAGTCTTTAAACTCACGTTCTTGTTCTTTAGTACTTTAGTCCAGTCCTAGAGAACACACTTCCAATGTCTGATAATATCTTGAATGCTACTACCATTATCTGTGTTGTTTTTATGAGTCATCAAGTTGCTTGTGACTCGTAGTGACCTTATGTACAACTCTGATCTATCCTGAGCCAACCTTATCGTCTGACACAGCTACATATATTACCCCAGTTACTGAGTTAATCCATCTAATCTAGGGTCTTCCCCTCTCCAAAAACTGGTCCCACTTTGCAACATGTCCAAAGTATGTCAGATGGAGCTGAAGAATCCTACTTCCAAGGAACAGCCTCATTTCACCCTCTTCAGGATAAATCTGTTTGTTCTCCTAACAGTCCATGATATATTCAATACTCTTCTCCAGAACAACAGCTCAAAGGCATCAATTCTCCTGTCATTCATAGTCATTGTCCATCTTTCTGATGCATAACAAGTAATTGCAAAGACTGTGGTCTGGATCAGGTGCACCTTAGTCTCCAGGCTGATGCCATTGATCTAAAGGTATCATTAAAATGTTTAAGGTGTTGTATATTTTACTACTGTCAAGTCGAGTATGACTCATATAAATTCTATGAACATCAGATCTGAACTTCGTCCTATCCTATCCTAATTTTGTTTTAGTTATTAGGATCAATTCTCTGTGTTCTAAAGCCTTCATTAATATCAGCTTGATGAATGTAAACCCAAATAACAAACCCACTGATGTTTAATGAAGTCTAAATCATAGAAATGTTACTTGACAAGACAGAACTACTGTATAGGATTTCAGAGGTTGTAAGTCTTTTATGAAAACACATGGAATTTTTTTTTCCTCCCCCACAGTCCTTGATAGATTTGAAATTGAACCTCTGGGTTTGCAACATGGTGCTTAACCATTTCAACTCCACAAAAGACTAACTTATGTATGGAATAATTAATCTTGGATAATTTATTATGTTTGATGAGCTTTCTGATGATTTTATTTCTTTTTCATCAAGATAAAGTCTCAAGAGATTTAAGTATTGCTGTTCAAATGATGAAAAGGATCCACTCCTTGATGGATAAATATCCAGAACTTCTGCAAGAAGCAGATTACCAATTCATAGCTAAATGTCTGAAATATTTAGGGTTTGATGAGTTGGCAAGTGCTGTACATTCAACGCAGGTAATATTTTTAGACTTTCTTTCTAATATACTGGAGTAATAATTAGGTATATAAAACCACCAAAGCCCAAATCAAGCTACTGTCATTGAGTCAATTTTGGTTCATAGCAACCTTCTATCTGGTTTCTGAGGCTGTAAAGTTTTACTGGAAAAGCTTATCCATCTTTCTTCTATAGAGCAACTACTGGATTTGAACTCCTGATCTTTTGGTTAGTAGAGCAACATGTAGTAGATAACACCAGCAGAGCTAATAGACATAAATTAGATACATAAATATAGTTATCAGTTTTAGAACTTTTTTTGCAGAGAATATTTATTCTGAGTTCAAAATCATTATTAGTAACTCATTTGCCCCAATATAAAGTACTATAAAACTGGGAAGTCTATTTAAATGTTTGTCTGGAAAAACGTTACATGCCAGATATATGTGTGCTTTGAAGTTTACACTGTACTAAGTTCTCATATCCCAAAAATGTAATGTAATTGTTCAGTGTTTAAATATATTAGGTTTTAGCAATAAAAAAGCATAATCATTATTGTGTAAATGTTGGCAGCCTAGTGGCAAGAAACTATGCTGCAATCTGTGGGCAATTGCCTCTCTTGAGATTAATTCCCTCTGAAAAGCTAAAGAAGATCAGTTATGGGTCAGTTCCAACTCAATAGTACACAATAACAACACCTTATTCATAAGGACTCTGGTGGTCTAACAGTGGTAAGGAATTGTGCTGCAAGTCAAAGGCTCTCATGTCCACCGGCTGTTCTTTGGATTATGGACAGTCTTCTTCTGTGCTGTTTACAGCCTGTTAAAAAACCACTACAGTGTCAGCTATGAGTTTGGTTCTGACTTGAGGGCACATAACCACAATTCATTCATATTTAATATGATGATTTACATGGCAATGCATTAAAATTAAACATATAAATTAAACATTTTAAAGTGTGGACACATATCCCACAGGAAATATGCTGTAAAAATACTGCAATTCTTTAATACGGTATTGTTTAATTGTTTTAAAAATAATACAGGTTTTGGAAGAGGAACTAAAGAAACAGAAAAAACGCAGATACTCAGTCGACATGGGACCTGTTCGATTTCAACTACAATGTATGGGTCCTTATTTGATACGAGATGAGAGAAAAGACCCAGATCCCAGGGTACAGGATTTTATTCCTGACACATGGCAGGTAATTATGGAAAAAGAAGCTAACTTTTTTATTAAATATGGTGTAAATAGTTTCTCACTGTGGTGACTCTACAGATTATATTTGGTAAAGTTATGAGAAGTTCTTAGTCATAACCAAACATCCTTAAAAGACTCAAGGCCCGAGTTTTAGGGGACATAAAGGTCAAGTGACATAATATGGTCAATGTTTTGCATCTTTGGTAAATATTGATAATTGTCTTAAAAGCTTATGAGCAGCCATCTCAAGAGTAAATATCGGTGTTTGTATGTCTGGAGAAAAGAAGAGTACAGAAAATATAAAACGTACAGAAACAATTAGACCAGAGGACAAACAGGACACAAAACCCAAGCTTCAATGACTCTGAGACCAGAAGAACTAAATTTTACCCAGCTCCCACTGCTGATCTCTTTGAAAGGGGTCACAACAGGATGGCCTTGATAGAGTGGGAGAAAAATTTGGAACAAAATTAAAATAATAAAAAGACTAGGCTAAATGGTCTGATAGGACCAATGGAATCCATGAAAATATACACCCTAATACGTCCTTTAAGTCTAGAACCAAACTGTTCCCCATTGTTCACCTTTTAAGCAATAGGTATGACTTGAGGATGAATAATTACTCCAAAAAGCTACATAATCTTTAGGGCAATCCACCACAGGAGATCAAAAGGATAGCATTTTCCTAAGGATAAAACTCATACTATAGGAAGGATAAAGAAAAAAAGAACAGATATAAATGGTAAACATAGTCTTTCTTTTTCTGTGATGAATTCAGACAGCCTTTGGTTTTATTTCTAAGTCCCTGATCCACTTTTATTTATTGTTTCGCACAAGGTTTTTTTCTATTCCAAATAAAGTTGGAAATAGCCTTTTCCATCTCATTGAAGAATGGAATTTGTATCTATAAGGGGATTGCATTGAATTTATAGATTGCTGTTGGTAGACTTATCATCTTCATGATATTGAGTCTTTATCCCTGAGCTTGGTAAACCAGGAAGAGCTCTAGAAGTCCTAATCCACAACATAGCAGTCTTCCAAGCATAATGAAAAACCTGTAACTGGGAAAGAATAAAACAGACAAATGGGATTTTCTAAGAATCAATTCCCTATGCACATTAAAAAACTTATCCAATAGGGTAAGAAGGAAATCCACAGTATGGGAAAAAAATATTTGGCGATGACATGTCTAATAAGGAATTTATGTCTAAAATGTATAGAATTCTCCAGAAATTTAACGAAAAAAATGTAAACAATCCAGTCACAAATTGGGCACAGGGTAAGAATAGGCACTTCACCAAAGAGGAAACAGACACATGAAGAAATATTTAAAATCCTTAGCTATTAGAGAGCTACAAATCAAAACAACTATGAGATACTGTATCACCGCAGCAACAATAGCAAAATTCAGCGGGGCAGCAAACAACAAATGTTGCTGTGGTTGTGGAGAAATTGGGACTCTTGTTTGCTGTGGTGGTAATGTAAAATGGTGCAATCACTATGAAAGATGGTCTGGTGCTTTCTCAGAAAGTTGGAAATAAAAATACCATTTGACCCAGCAATTCCCCTACTAGGAATATACCCTAAAGAAACCAGAGCTGCCATCCAAATAGATGTGTGCACACCCATGTTTATTGCTGCATTATTCACAATAGCAAAGACATGGAACTAACCCAAGTGCCCATTAATAAATAAATGGATAGAGAAGCTGTGGTATATTCACACATATTCACAAAAAATAGAATAGTATGCAGCAATGACAAACAAGGACCTAGTAAAATATTACATAACATGGGAGACTCTGGAGGACATTATGCTGAGTGAGATATCTCAATCACAAAAGGACAAACGCTGCATAATATCACTTTTATAAAACAGGATTGACATGGGGTTGGGAGGAAACTGAGAAAAGAGGGGATAAATATCTCTGCACTGGAACAGATGAAGTAAAGAAAATATCTCTGCATTGGAACAGATGAAGTAAAGAACTGTTAAAAAAATTTGATTAGGCATTATCTGTATGACAACAGTCCAGAATAAGTGGTGCATAGCAAAGTGGACTGGAGGAGGAAGAGAGAGGAAATTATGCAACAGTGCATGGAGAGAGAGAGAGAGAGAGAGAGAGAGAGAGAGAGAGAGAGAGAGAGAACTGCAGGGAGGATAGGGAGGAAAATGTGTGATAATGAACAAATGAAAATCCAACTTTTCTTTAAACTTTTGTTAAACTTAAAAAGAAAAAGAAAAAAGTGGTAAACATAGAAGGGAAGCGGGAAATGTAACACTATATTGTGCAGATTAAAATCAACACCATGAAACCAAAGTGCATGAATTAATGAGTGGAAAATCGTTTTGCCCTGTAAATTTCACCCAAACCACAATAAAAGTTTTGGTTATTACAGCTCTATAGAAGGTTTTGAGGTCAGGAAGTGCTATGTCTCCCATTGCGTTTTTGTTTTTCAGTTCTCCTCCTTTGCTTATTTGAGGTCTCTTTGAACCCACAACAATAATAGTTTCCAGGGGTCTTGATTGTGGATCCAAATATAAAGAAATATTTTTCTGATTGCAAAAAAACTCAAGATCAAAACCCAACAACCCCCCCCCCACAAAAAAAAGGAATTTGATATCTCTATTGGGACTGTGCCGAACACTTTTGGTAGGATTATCATTTTCACTCAAAGTACCTGTTGGAGGGCCTTTGTATTTAAAAGTTGGTTGGGTCCCCGGGTCTAGTGTTACTATATTTTGGAGGAATACCATTTTTGTAAGTGGTACAGCACTGGTATGTCAATTTGCTGTACTGAGGTAATCTAGGGTTCCTGTGTTGCTGAACCCTGTATCATTGGTGCGTCAAATGCCATATTGTTCTGATGTCCCTATCTTTATCAAAGAGATGTGAAAATTCCTTTCCTACAATTTGAGCATTTCTTTATGTTTTCTGGCCTTCTCAGTGTTATCTTTAGTAATGGGTCTTTTCATGTGTTCTGTTCATTTTGTAATTGAGCTGTCTTTTTTCTTTGTTGAGGTGAGTTTTCTCAATTTTAGAGATGAGTGCCTTTTCAGATATGTAATTGAGAGAATTTTTCCCAATCTGTAGATTCTCTTTTCAGTCTTTTGAGAAGTCTTTTGGTGCACATAAAGAATTTTATACTTAAATATACATAATTGTATAGAGAATTGTGGACAATTTCAACAATGTAGACTATTGGATAGATATTTACACACTGTATCTCTCACTAATAGCTAATCTTCTTTAAAAGGATGTTAAATTAGCATTACCATAAAATTCATAATAAAACAAGATATTTCCATATAGATTGAACCATAAAAACTGCTGATGAATTAATATTTTTAACAATAAAATGTAGTTTCATGGGTTCTAGCTAAAAGAGTTTGTCCTTCAGAGTCTCAGTTGGCTTTGCTTATATTAATAATAGTGGAAATCCTTTAAAAATTCTTGCTTCCTACTTTGGAACAGGAGAACTAAAGTTCGTCACTTCAGTGAAGGACAAAGGGCAATCAATATGTCTCTGTTCAATGCACACTGCAGTCCTAATGCTCACTTCACTATGAGATGTGCTTGAGTGTAGACTAGACTGAAGAAGATGTTAGTGTGTATGAGGCTGATTTTTTTTTCTTTCTCATAGGATTGTGAATAGTCATCATTTTAATATGATGAAAGCATAGACTGAAGGAATGAGAATTTATTAACTACTCATATGCCCTCTAATGTATGAATCTTTTGGTATTCGTTATAGAAAATCAGATAATTATTTTTTAATTTTTTTATTTTGTGTGCGTGTACCGTCAAATCAGATCTGACTGGTACAAGCGGATATTGCGCCTCCTTCTCCGGCAGAGCATCTGGTGGATTCAAACCGTGTTCCTCTGGGATTGCAGTGCAGCTTCTTGCCACTAGGCCACCAGAGCTCCCCTAATTATTTTTCATTATTAGAAAAACATGTGTTTTGCTTGATTCCTCATAACAATTTTATATATATTAAATGATAATTAGAAAATAATGTCTTCCCAATAGAAAAATGACATTTTCATGTTTTATTCATGCTTTCCACTTTTCAGATACAAAATCAATTTTGAGTTATTAATAATCAAAATAACTAGAATAATAAAATATTCCTCTGAAGCAATGTTATGAGCTCTGTGTATTTCCCTGTGTTTGTGATATCCATTTTATGTGCATTTCGGAGAATTATATTGAAAGTATTTAAATACAGTTTGTTAGCATCCTACTCACGTCCTTTAAAAATTGGTGCGTGCTCTTAAACTTTCAGCGGGAGCTCCTTGATGTTGTGGATAATAATGAATCAGCAGTGATTGTTGCCCCAACATCCTCCGGCAAAACCTACGCTTCTTACTACTGCATGGAGAAAGTGATGAAGGAAAGTGATGATGGGGTGGTTGTGTATGTTGCACCAACAAAGGTAGAACTCTCATTGTTTTGTTTTGTCTCTCATTCCTAAATCTCATCTTTTAAAATCATATGTGATGTAGTGGATCTATTTCACTTTCTTTTTAACCCACATTTGTTCGCTCCTTATAGTTTCACAGGGCATAATACTTTCCTTAGAACCATGTTCTTGTCTTAGGCATTGTGCATGGATTTAGAGAAGTACAAACACTTTGTTGGACAATACTGAGAGTCATCTAACAACCTAACACTTACTCTGCTGGGTGTGTGGGCTGCATCTGATGGCCTGTTGGGCAATTGCAACTTTTCTGCCCTCAAGCCAGGCTATTTTTCTATACTTGGTTTTATGTCTTACTTGGCTTGTTTTGTACAGAATTTTCTTTTTAATTTAAGAAACAGTCTGAAACATCAATATATATTCTCATTATCAGCCTCTTTCATTTAATAATGTTGCTCTTAAGTTACTTGAATTTAAACTCCTTTCTATAATAGATACAAGCTATTCCCTAAGTCCTAGCTTTCCAAGTAGTAGTAGTTTCTTCTCATGTAATAATTTAATATTTTATCTTTTTTATGAAGCCGTCTATTTATTCTATTCAGGACTGAAGGTTTTTTCATTCTTACTTAAGTACCTCAAGGAAAGCCCTGTAACAAGTTTAATACAGATGAGTATGAGAAACATAAAATTTTCTAAACTCAGGCCCAAACAATGTGGACAGATTTGGTTGTACTTTAAGAGTTTATCTGTCCTACCTTACTAATAGATGTCTTTCTTTATCAATCAGGCCCTTGTAAATCAAGTGGCAGCAACTGTTGAAAATCGTTTTTCAAAAAACCTGCCAAGTGGTGAAGCTATATGTGGTATTTTTACAAGGGAATATCGTCATGATGCCCTAAACTCTCAGGTATGGTTTTTAATGAATAATTTTCTTATAAAATTAAGTCGCAATATTTATGCAATGTTTTCACTAGGATTTGAACATCTGCACAAAGGTCTATGAAATTATTCCTTTGAATTTACAAAAAAGCAAAATGGCTTTATAAAAATAGTATATGCATCTTTATTTATGATGGGTTAAAATTTTTCTGGAAATGAGGCATCAGAAATTGAATAATCATAAGTTTCAAATCAGAATAGTTATACAGAGTTTTCAATTATTTGACCATGGTCTTTTCAATCACCTGGTAGGCTAGTGACAAATGGACAGTGGATAAGGGTGACAGAAAAAGAATTGATGGCTTTGAACTGTGATGTTAAGAAAGAGTACTCAATATTCCATGGAGTGCCAAAAGAACAAACAGATATGTCTTAGAGAAGGTGCAGCCAGAGTGCTCCTTGGAGGCAAAGATGATAAAACTTCATCTCACATATTTTTAGAGGTGAGACTATTTTTTTGGCGATGGACATCATGCTTGGAAAGGTAGAGGGAAAGTGAAAGATAGGAAGACCTTCAACCAGATAGGATAACACAGTGACTGCAGTAGTGGGTTTGAGTGTGTCAAAGATTATAAGGATAGCCTAGAATAAGATAAGGTTCAGATTTATTTTTTCTTAGGACTGTTATAAGTCTAATTCAACTGAATGGCACCTAACAACAACAATATACATGGAGTTAGGTAAACCATAGAGAAATGCAGGTATCAAAAATCCCCAAAATTGCCAGAAGAACAAAGAAATGAAGTTTGTTTCTAATGAATTCACAGGTAAACAGGTAAGCCTAAGCAAAATACTGCCTAGAGAAAATTGTACAATAGAAATGAAGAGGTGGGATTGTTCTACAAAGATTTGCAATTCAGCTATGGACAATGGGGTATCATCAATATGGTCACCGTCAGCTCTCTCAGCTCTGCATCCGTGGTTCTAAGATAGTAGGCAAGGGCTTAAACAACTGGCTATTTTGCCTTAATACGAAAAGACTCTGGGTGGCTATCATCACTCCAGAATGTTAAATCCGGGTGGCTTAAACTTCATCAGGTGTGTGTTGCAGTTTGACTTCTTTCCTGCTACAACTTTTCATCATTTTTGATCCTTAATAATATCTTACACCCAAAACTCAATCCCAGGGTCAAATTTTGGAGAATGAAAAGTAAAACGTAATAAGAAAATTAAATAGAGTTCATATAAATCAATATCCTGGTCATTAGTGAGCTTAAATGGTGTTGAGCGTTTGAGTACAAACTACTATTCTGAGAATGACAAATTCAAGAGAAATGGCATCATTTTCATCATCAAAGTAAACATTTAAATATGTATTTTTAATTACACAATGCTGCCAATGATAGATAATATTCATAAACATATAAGGAATACCTGTTAATATGATTACTTTTCAAATTTACACACCAAGCATTAAAGCTGAAGATGAAGAAATTTGGGGTTTCTGACAACTTTTGCATCAGAAAGCTGGACAATGTCTAGGGATGATAGAAGGAGGTTTAATGCCTTAGAGCTGTGGTGCCGAAGAAGAGTATTGGATAGACCATGGACTGCTGGGAGAACTGTATTGAATATATCATGGACTGGTAGAACAAATAGGTTAATCCTAGAGAGGGTGAGAATAGATCGCTCCTTGGAGGCAAGGATTCTGAAGCTTCGTCTGACGTACTTTGGACATGTTGCAAGGTGGGATTAGTCCTTGGAGAGGG